GGCGTTGTGGGGCAGACCGCCACCTACATGCTGCTCCTAGTTGGCTTCGGTCATCATCAGGCATGCATTCCTGGACGCCGCTGGCTCGGAATGTGACGTCATCCGGGGGATGAAGGCGGAGCCGATGACGGACGCTATCCCGGAACATAACAAACAGGTTCTTGTGGTGCCCGAGCCGCACGGCGTTGGGGGGGCGTTACGTTATACCCTCCTCCGCCCCCCTCCCACCCCTAACGCCCACTATCGCCGACAATTTGGAAACATGATCTTGTCGGCAGGGCTCCGAGAACGGTCGAGGTCCGTGCCTTGACTTCGGACGCTCCACGCCCCAGATTAGGATGTCACTCCTGGGAGCTGATATTCAGAACCAGCGCTTGTATGTTCCTGGTCGAAAACTCGCCAAATCGGGCTGAGTCCCGCTTGATCCCGGTATATTCTGCTTCGTCTGGCTTATTCTTGGGCCTAATCCGGGCTTGCCCTCCGTCTCAATGGCCCCTTTCATCGGCACTAATAACCCTTAATCGCTCTGGCGAAGTCCTCCCACGAGCGGCCTCCTAACACTCCAGACTTTCAGACACACTCGCGTGTCAGATGCGCATATGTTGGATGCGTAAAGGAACAACTCCGTGAAGCGTCGACCAACCACCTCACAGATCCTGGACGGCCCGTCCTGAACCCGTGATCGGTGTGCACGCCCTCCCTGGCCAAGCCGGGAGGATGCGGTACGCTCGTGTCGGGTCGACGCGGCGGCGAGACCCCGCGGGCGTTCAAAGTTGAGCGCCACCAGTGGCCCAGAATCGACCAACAGAACGACCTCGCGGTCGAAAAACCGCCGATCGTTTAAGGTTGAACGATCCCATTAATGTCGTCACCATGCGAACCTGTCGTATTTGCGTTCGTTTTGCTCACAGCATCTTGGCGCGGTGGCTTGATTGTTATTGATATCGTCCTCTTTTCATCGTAGACGGGTGTGTCCGTAGCCCTGTCTTCATCCCTCCCCGCCGCGCCTCCCTGCCTGTATTGATCGCCCTCCACCTTCCTCCCGCTCCCAGCCCCTGTGTCCCATGCCCTGACATGGAACGACCTGGCGGTCGAAGACTGCCCATCGTTGAGGATTGAACGATCTCACGCGGTGTAAGAAATCAACGCTGGGGTCGTTACCGCACGAACCTACCGTATCCTGATGGGTGCTCGATAGGAAGAGATTTCACCATGTTAGAGCAGGCCGATTAGGAGCAGGAGAAGGGGGGGAAGAGAGAGCGAGAGAGAGAGCGAGAGAGAGAGAGAGAAAGAGAGAGAAAGAGAGAGAGAGAGAGTTGAGCGATCAGTGAGATGCCCAATGCGGCTGACCAGCGGTTGGCACGAGACACGAGCTGTACAAGCGCAGTATGGTGGAGTCCCTTTCCATCAGTTTGAAAACACACCATTTCCATCATCGGGTCTGCATACCGAAAAACTGATGCTGATCGGTGCTCGTTCCGAGAGATGGTCACTTGAGCGACGGAAGGACACGGGGTCGACTGCACGGGCATCAGCGCGTAAGTTTTTCGCGAAAGGCCGCGCGTAAGCGCCCTCGTTTCCAACATAGCGTTCCGCGCTGGCGGCCCATGTACGCCGCGGCGTAAGGTCGCCATGCCATCTTGCGCGATTTTGCGCAGCGGAGAACATGTAGTGCAAGTTCGTGGATGGGGGGGTGAGGGAGGGGAAGGAAGGGGAGAGGAGGAGAACGGAGAAGGAACGGTACAACACCGAAAGTATCTCACTTCCTGCCAGGACGCAGTTGGGCAGATGGCAGTTTGCATAGCTGGAGAGCCGGCAATTTGCCTCATAGGGGCCTGCATGACGAACAAACTAATACTGATCCGTGCTCGATTCGCGAGATGGTCTCTTGAACGACGGACATAATCGAGGTCGACTGCGCGGACTTTCTCGAGTACGCTTTCCCCGTAAGGTCGCGCGTAAGCGCCCTCGTTTTTTTTTGTAGCGTTCGGCGCTGGCGGCCCGTATAAACCACGGCGTAAGGTCGCCATGCTATCTCGCGCAACTCCGTTTCTTTGGTCCATGTTTGCCGATATGGAACGACTTGGCGGTCGAAAAGCCGCCGATCGTGCATGGTTGAACGATCTCACGCGGTGTCAGAAAGCAACGCTGGGGTCGTCACCACACGAACCTGCCGTACTCGCGCTAGTTTGGATCAAAGCATCTTGGCACGGATTGATTGACATCGCTATCCCCCTCTGGTCATCGCAGACGGGTGTGTCCGCAGGACTGTCTTTGCCCCTCCCCTCCTCCCTAGGGCTACGGAGGACACGTGCAAAAATAAGGGTCAACGGAGGTGGACGGCGATTGACAGAGGGAGCTCCCCGCATCCAGCGCACTCTGCCTCTCGTCCTCTCGCTTCCAGTCCCCTCGCCACGAACCTACCACACCCAGACATGCGAAAGAGCGCGTTCTGTGGTCGCTTGGAGGGGGGGGGATTGGAACCGGACCCCCTCCCCTCCTCTCCCCCTCCTCTTCTATTTCTCCTCTCCCTCTCCTCGGGCTGGCGCCTGTGTCGGCGGCGGCTGGCGTTGGCGGCGGGGACGAGGACTTTCTTTTCTGGGCTGGCGCCGGCGCCTGCGGCGGCGGGCGGCGGCGGCGGCGGGGAGCGTCGACGAGGACGGCGACGATGACGACGACGACGACGACGACGACGACGACGCTCCGCCACCGTGCCTCGGTTTGGGGTCAAAGTCCTAATGGATGCCTCTTGGGGTCTCGTCGGAGGGCACTCGGGGGCCTCTGAAGGGCATTTGTGCAGCCTCCTGGGCGCCTCTTTGGCGTCTCTTGGGGCCTCTCTGAGGTGGTGGTGAGGGTGGTGGGTTGTGGTGGTGGTGGCGGTGATGGTGGTGGTGGTGGTTGTGGCGGTGGTGGTGGTGGTGGTGTGGTTGTTGATGTTGTTGGTGGTGGTTGTTGTCGTGGTTGTGGTGGCAGGTTGTGGTGGTGGTGGTGGTGGCGGTGGTAGTGGTGGTGGTGCGGTGGTTTCTGGTGGTGGTGGTGGTGGTAGTTGTGGTGGATGTGGGTTGAGTTGGTGGTGGTGGTGGCGGCGGTGGTGTGGTGGTTTGTCGTGGTGGTTGTGGTGGTGGTAGTGGTTGTGGTTGGTGGAAGTGGGTTGGTGTGATGGTGGTGGTGGCGGTGGTGGTGGTTGTGGTGGTGGTGGTGATTTGTTGTGGCGGTGGTGGTGGTTGTGGTGGTGGTGTGGTGGTGGTTCGTGGTGGTGGTGGTGGTGGGTTGTGGTGGTGGTGGTGGTGGTGGTGGTGGCGGTGGTGGTGGTGGTTGTGGTGTGGTGGTTTGTGGTGGCGGTGGTGGTGGTAATGGTGTGGTGGTTTGTGGTGGTGCCCTCTCCTGGGCCCTCTGTGGTAATCGTTGCTGCGTCCCCGCCGTCGGCGCTGCTGGCCGCCGCCAGTGCCGGCGCGTGCGCCGGCGCTGGATTGGTGGTGGTGGTCGTGGTGGTGGTGGTGGTGGTGGTGGCTTGTGGAGATGATGCTGGTGGTGGTGGTGGGGGTGGTGGTGGTTTGGTGGTTTGTGGTGGTGGTGGTGGGTTGTGCTGCTGGTAGCGGTGATGGTTGTGGCGTTACTGGTGGTGGTGTGATAGATTGTGGTGGTGGTGGTGGTAGTGGTGGTGGGTTGTTGTGGTGGTGGTGGCGGTGAGTTGTTGTGGTGGTGGTGGTTGTGGTGGTGGTAGTGGCTGCGGTGGTGGTGGTGGTTTGGTGGTGGTTGTGTGGTGGGGTGGTGGTGGTGGTGGTTGGTGGTGGTAGTGGTGGTGGCGGTGGTGGTGGTGGTGTGGTGGTTTGTGGTGGTGGTGGTGGTGGGCTGTGGTGTTGGTGGTGGCGGAAGTGCTGATGGTAGCGGCGCTGGTGGTGCGTGGTGGGTGGTGGGTGGTGGTGGTGGTGGTGGTAGTGGTGGTGGTGGTGGTTATGATGGTGGTGGTGTGGTGGTTTGTGGTGGTGGTGGGTTTTGGTGATGGTTGTGGTTGTGGCGGTGTTGGTGCTGGTGGTGGTAATGGTGTGGTGGTTTGTGGTGGTGCCCTCTCCTGGGCCCTCTGTGGTAATCGTTGCTGCGTCCCCGCCGTCGGCGCTGCTGGCCGCCGCCAGCGCCGGCGCGTGCGCCGGCGCGGGGGGGTGGGGGGGACCCCCCCCCTCTTCTGGGCCCTCTCTGGTCATCGTCGCTGCGTCCCCGCCGTCGGCGCTGCTGGCGGCCGCCAGCGGGCGCCGGCGCCGGCGCCGAGGGGGGGGAGGTTCGGGAAGAGGGGGGTGGTAGGGGGGAGGGGAGTCCCCCTGGTTCTGATCGACGGCGCCGAGAGTTGGGGGGGGCCCCCCCAGGTTCGAAACGCGCCGCCGAATGTTCCCAAGGCAAGCGCCCGTGAAACGCGCTCTCCTAGACATGCGATGCCTTGATTTTTTCAGTCCGGGCCCCCCCGAGTTCTCGACCCTTTTCCCAAGGGCTGGCTTCTCATCGCGAGTAATTTCTTGACGGTCCCTAGGCGCGGCGAGGGCTCCTGGAGTCCGAGAAGGCCAAAAATTGGTTTGGCCGCGATTTCTTTGCGACGCGAGCATGTCTGGGTACACTCACCGCTGCTCGATCGGAGGTATGCAGTCAACCCGCATAGTAAGGATCAGTGACTTTCCAAGTTTGGCCTTGCATCCTTCCCCTTCGGCCCATCCTTGGGCCGCTTTTGCTGGCCGCGTCCCGCTCGTAGGGTGTCGGCATGGCCTTCCAAGGCCCTTGCATCCTTCTAGTGCGTCCTTACTACGCGTCCCCATGTGATATCCCATCATATCATCATCCATCATTGTTGCAACGCGTTTGGCGAATTGCGTTGACTGCATCAGGGGCGCATCTGGCGCACCACCATCATTTTTTGTCCGCTCTTCTGCCGATGCGTCCGCAGGATGCTCGGCCCACTGACTGACTGATTGACTGTGGTCCCTTGCGGCGCCCCCGCCGAGAGAGAGAGAGAGGTCGGCGCCTCCGCCGCGCTCTTGCTGCTCACGGGCACCTCGCCGCGCGCCGGCGCTGGCAGGAGGCAGGCGGCGGCCGCTGCGCCGCGCGGCCCGGCGCCACTGCGCGCCTTCGAGAACGAAACCGGCGTGCAGGACGCATCGGCAACGCGCAGATGCAGCACAGCCCCCCTCGCGCTGTGAAAAACATCGCGACGGGAGGTGTTTCGCTATTTTCGGTCTCTGGGGGCCCTCGCCGGGCCTCGGGACCGTCAAAACACGACTCAGGATGAAAAACTGGCCCCAGAGAAGGGGTCCAGACCTCTGGGGGTCGACGTTGTGAAAAAATCACGACGTCGTGGGTCTGGGGGGTAGGGGGAGGGGGGAAGGCTTCTTACAAGCGCCCCTGCTTCTTAAAAGACGCGGGCCTCGTCGATAGATGAGGGGCCGGCGCCTTCTAGGGAGCAGTTTCTTTTTGAGAGAAGCCTTCCTCCCTCCCCCTAACGCCCTGTGCGCGCCGCCAAACGCAAGAGCGACGAACCCGCTCAATCGGGCTAACGGTTTTAGGGGGTGGAAAAATATCGTGCTTTTCTCTCGGAGAAAAGAAGCGCCAATCTCGAAGGTAGAATTCAAAGCGGGGCCAAAACGCCCGTTTCGAAGATAGATCAGAGCGGGGCCAAGCCGGTCGCGGCGGTCGACCCAGGGCAGTGCCCACTTTTGCAAACTGCGGCCTGCGCTCTAGGCCTCCCAGACAGGGTCGAGGCAGATGGTATCGGAGGTCGTGCAGATTCGCCGATGTGTTGGCGATGCGGCTCGATCCAGAGCCTGGTTTCCCCACGCCGACGTTCCCGATGCATCGTCGACGTCGCCATCGCCGATGCATCGGAGGTACACTGGCGATTCAGGATCCTACGCCCCCGTCTACTCGGACTCCATCTGGGAGGCTACTACATTTCAGTCCAGCATGCGGCTTGGGGTGGAAAGATTGCGTGCAGTGTGTCGCCGCGGGCCCGCTCACTGCACACGATCCCCCACCTTGGGGATAGCGGGCATCGAAGAAGCCTCGGCAGGGGGATAGCCCGCACAGGAGGTGCCCTCGCGGGGGGGATCGCCTCACTGTGATAGCGTGTTTTTCGGGGATCGATCTTGCACGCTATATCTCTAACGCCAACAGTAGTATAGCCTCATCTGGCTTAATCCGGGCCTACTCCGGGTCAGCGCCCCACGAATCGGATCTACTAGCTCTTAATCATTCTGACGAAGATCTCCTAGGAGTTGCCTCCTAACACTTGAGATTTTCAGACACCCTCGTCTGCCAGATGTGTAGATGTTGGCTGCGCTAAGGAACAACACCGTGAAGCGTCAACCAACCAACTCACCGATCCTGGACGGGCCCCTCCTGATCCTGTTATCGGTGTGAGTATGCGAGGAGTATGCGGCAGGCTCGTGTGGTATCGACGCGGCGGCGACCCCGCCGCGGGCATTCACAGTTCAACTTCGCGAGTGGCCCAGGATGGGCCAATGTGGAAGGATCTGGCGGTCGATAAGCCGCCGATCGCTCATGTTTGAACGATCCCACGCGGTGTCAGAAACCAGCAACCAGCGCCAGGGTCGTCGCCCGGTGGGAAGTGAGAGGGAGCGGGCCTTCTCAGAAGGTGGCGATGCCTCTCAGACTCCCTCCAGCCTTTGAGTCCGACGAACGTGTCCACATCCCTTGGAATCCCGGTGTTGCAGTTTTTTCACACTAGGCGTGTTGCCCGGTTCCGGGCCCCGGGGTCCTCAGAGGTCGATCTGGCTTGAAAAATGCAGCGGAAAGATAGGGTCTACCGCTCTGGTCATATTTTTTGCGATGCTGCATTTTTTTGCAATGAGACTGTCATGCAGGACGCGCGACCGACGAACGCATCCTCCGAGGAGGAAATGGGACCAATACCTCGTTCTCGAGAGCTCTCGTCGCCACGGCTGGATTCGCCTCGAACTCCTAGTCGGAACGCACACCCGGGAGAGGTCCGGGGAGTGCCTGTATGGGTGGGTACCTTTTGTCCCCTCGAGTTCGCCCTTTTGGACCTGAGAGTTCTCGTCGCCACGGCTGGATTCGCCCCGAAATCCCAGTCAGCGTGCACCCTGGGAGGTCTGGGGAGTCGCGGTATCGGTACCTCTCGGTTTCCCTATGGCGAGCGATGGACGTATCCACATACGTGCTCTCGCTGGGCGGTGCGCTCGGGGGGAAGTGAGAGTGAGGGGGCGCGCCTTCCCAGAGGGCGGCGAGGCCATCTCAGAGGCCCCCTGGCCTTCTCAGGAGCCGTCTGTGTTTTCGGAGAAGGCTTAGAGAGCTTCTCACAAGGCCTGGGGCCTTCGAGCCTTCTGTGAAGGTCGGCCCCCGCTCGCTTCCCCCCCGCCCAGGCGCGCCGCCGGTCGCGGTCTGGACACCGAGGCGCAATCCCAGGGACACCGGATCGACCCCATCGGTGTATTTTGCGAAGGGCGTCCTTGCAGAGCCGCCCTGCATCCGTGGGGTCGTGGCCGAAGAGTCCGTGCCACGGGGCCGGGGACGTGGACGTGTCTCCCGCCCACGAAGGACCCGATGGGCTTCTGGGACCCAGCCGGGTTCACCTTTGACGGGAGCGTGGAGAACTTCGCGCGCCGCCGCCAGACGGAGCTCAAGCACGGTCGTCGGGGGCGAGGGGCGGGCCGACCTGTCGACGTCTGCCCGATGACGCCGCCTCGAAGTCTTCCGCGGGTGCATTCCGTGCGGGAAGCAGAGCCGCCAGAGTGCGTGTTTTTGCTCATTTGTCGTATCTGCGACCACGAGGAAATTTCCTGGTTCAGTTGACGCTGGGGGGCATCGGATACCCCGACGGGGGTTTACCTTGCTGCAATCATCCTGCCGATTGTGAACCCCAGCTGGCGTATCAGAACTTTGGCCTGCAGGAGTAATGAGGGTTCATGTATGACCTATACGACCACCCTTCGGCTGATAAGGAGGTTCGGGGAAGAAGTGAACCAACGTATCATCACTCAATCGATCTCCCTATCGATCTCATTATCGATCTCACATTATATCAGTATATATTGTCTTATCATCGATCCCACTATCGATCTCACAGTCGATCTGACTATCGATCCCACTATTGACATCACAATCGACCTCACTATCGATCCCACTATTGATCGCACAAGCGATCTCACTATCGATCTTACTATCGATATCACTATCGATCTGACTGCCAATCTCTTTATTCCTCTCACAATCGGTCTCACCAGATCGATTTCACTATCGATCTCACTATCGGTCTTATTAGATCGATCTCACTGTCGATCGATCTCACTATCGATCGATCTCGATCGATCTCACTCGATCGATACCACTCGATCGATCTCACTATCGATCTCACTATCGATCTCAGATTCGGTCTCACAGTCGATATCACTGGACACGGGACACCACGGGACACCACGGGGCACTGCCGGACACCACAGGACACCACGGGATACCACGGGACACCATCACGGGACACCATCACAGGACACCACGGCTTGACATCACGGGACACCACGGGACACCTCGGGAATCCACGGGACACCACGGGACACCACGGGACACCACGGGATACCACGGGAGACACCACGGGACACCACAGGACGCCACGGTGGACAACGGGGCACCACGGGACACCATCGGGACACTACGGCGGGATTCCGCGAGACACCACGGGACACCACGGGACACTTTCGGGATGCCATGGCGGGACACCACGGGGCAGGACGCCACGGGACACCACAGGACACCACGGGACACCATCGGGACACCATCGGCTGGATTCCGCGGGAACCACGGGACACCACGGGACACCATCACGGGACACCATCACGGGACACCATCACGGGACACCACGGGACACCGCGGGACACCGTCGCGATACCATCAGGGGACACCACGGGACACCACGGGACACCATCGGGACACCACGGGACACCACGGGACACCACGGGACAACGGGACACCACAGGACACCACGGGACACCACCACGGGACACCACCACGGGACACCATCACGGAACACCATCACGGGACACCACGTAACACCACGGGACACCACGGGACACCATGGGACACCATGGCGGGACACCCCCAGCACCCGCCCGCCACGCGGCCGGGGGGGGGCGGCGGACTTCTGTCTTCGACGCGCCCTAGCCAGAGAATGTTTCAATGCTCTCGCCCGCCCACGCAGCTTCGCCTTGCCCGCACGCACGACACGAACCCGAAACCGAAGCCGATTTACCGGTAGTGTGCTCTCCGTGGGATTTCGATCTCACCCCCCAACCTCCGATCCAGTGCGCACGTCCTCCCGTCAGACATGGGACGACGCTCGCGCGGCGATGTTCCGACGTGACTCTGACATTTTTCTGACGCAACCCGACGTAATTCCGACGTGAACCCGACGTGGATCCCACGTAAATTGAGTCTCAGGTTGCCGCGCAGGGTATCCAACGTTTTCCTCACAAGGCACGCTTCACATGTGGTGTCGCGAGCAACTCTTTGTCCGCCTCCACGAACCCCGGTTGCCGCCGTCGGTGGTTGCTGTCGCCCGCCCTCGGCCGCCGCCTTCGGCCGTCGATGGTTGCCGTCGGCGCTTGCCGCCACCACCGACGAGCGCTGCTTGCCGCCGCCGGTGGGACCCACAAAACACACGGGTGGTGTTGCAAAGATAGCGTGCGATGTGGCGCCGCCGTCCCGCTCATCACACGCTATCCCCCCACCTTGGGGGCAGCGTGCACCGAAGAAGCCCTGGCGGTGGACTGGCGTGCGCAGAAGGGGCCCTCGCGGGGGGATCGCCTTCAAGGGACAGCGTGCACAGGGGAAGCTTTACTTGTGGTGCAGCGTGCTTTTTGGAGATCGGTGTTGCCAGCTATCTTTGCGACGCCAACCTTGTTTTCGGATCGCGCAAAGATCACTTGCACGGGGTAGTTGCCCTACTGCGTCTGCTCATTGCCTGCAGGTCGCGTGTCCATGCTGGCCACCATGGGCTACATCACCCCCGAGGTCAGCGGGAAGTTCCCTGGCTATTTGTCTCCGTCGTCGGAGCTGAAGTTCGCGGACACCACTGGGGAGACCCACAACGTAGACGCACCCGCCTTTCTTCCTCTTCTTCTTTTTCTTTTTTTTCCTCCTCTACCTCTTCTCCTCCTCCTCCTCCTCCTCCTTCTCCTCCTCCTCCGCCTCCTCCTCCTCGTCCTCTCGTCCTGCCTGTGTTCGTGCTGCCAAAACTGTACGTGTTAGATTTCCCCCCGCAGGACATCCCGAACGGCCTGGGCGCCATCTCCAAGGTGCCCGCGGCGGGCTGGGCGCAGATCGTTGCCTACGCCGCGTTCTGCGAGCTGTCCCAGAACCAGTCCGCGGGCACGCCGGCGGCGAAGGGCGACTTCGGCTGGAAGGTGCTCACCGCCAGCGACCCGACGGAGAGGCAGAAGAAGCTGGCTGCTGAGATAGCGAACGGTCGCCTTGCCATGATGGCAATCATCGGGATGTTCTTCCAGGACGGGCTGACGGGCTCCGCGTGGGGCGACTGGGCTCTGTACACCGACTCCCCGCTGCGAGCGTTCGAGAGCGAGTTGGGTGCTATGGCGCCGTTTGGTTTCTGGGATCCCGCTGGCATGTGCGCAGACGGTGATGTGGAGTCCTTCAAGCGAAGGCGTGCCACCGAGCTGAAGCACGGGCGATTGGCAATGTTCGCGTGCTTGGGCTATATCGTGCCGGAGTTTTACAAGTGGCCCGGATATTGCTCCGAGAGCAAGGGCTTGCTCTTTCAGGACATCCCCAACGGCCTTGCGGCGGTGTCCAAGGTGCCGGGCGCGGGATGGGTGCAGGTATTTCTGTTCTGTGGCACCGTCGAGAAGGCCGTCCTCGTGCACGATCCTACGCGTGCACCCGGGGACTTTGCGAACGGTGGCGTGCTCGGCGTGCCCAACGGCAGCGCCATGCCGGCGGGAGAGGGCAGGAACCGCAAGCTGACTTCCGAGATTGCGAATGGCCGTTTGGCAATGATGGCAATCATCGGGATGTTCTTCCAAGACGGCCTCACTGGCTCCGCGTGGGGCGACTGGGCTCTGTACACTGACTCCCCGCTGCGCGCGTTCGAGAACGAGACGGGCGTGCAGGACCCGATGGGTTTCTGGGACCCAGCTGGCTTCACCTTCGACGGGAGCGTGGAGAATTTCGCGCGCCGCCGGCAGACGGAGCTCAAGCACGGTCGCGTGTCCATGCTGGCCACCATGGGCTACATCACCCCCGAGGTCAGCGGGAAGTTCCCTGGCTATTTGTCTCCGTCGTCGGAGCTGAAGTTCGCGGACACCACTGGGGAGACCCACAACGTAGACGCACCCGCCTTTTTTCCTCTGTTTCTTTTTCTTATGCTTCCTCCTCTACCCCTTCTCCTCCTCCTCCTCCTCCGTAGCCATTTTGGCTCAAGATGTTTGTGCCCCGTGGCAGAACACGGAGACCCCTGGTCCGGGGACTGCTAGGACCGCTGCTTTCCGCCTTCGCCGTGCCCGCGGCGTTGAGCATCTCCATATCCTTTGCTGCAGAGGCGCAGCTTACATATCACTCGCCAGCAGCGCTGGCCCTGTACTCGCTCGCCTCGCGATGGGACTGCCAGGCGTCTCCAGCTCTGCCGACTCCTTCGACAAGGGCAAGGGCAAGGACACCTTCGCGGCCGACCCCTGGGCCGCTGGCGCTCAGAAGCTTGCTGCAATCGACTTACCCGCACACCAGCGGAAGGCATTCACCGATCTGCTCCAGACCCAGGTCGACAAAGCCGCCGCCGCTTTCGAAGCCACTTCCAAGCAAGTCGTTGCCGCTGCGCAAGCCGAGTTCCTGGCAAACATCTCGAAGCTCACCGAACAGCTCAGCACCCGCCAGGAGTCCGCCGAGAGCGACATTGCCGAACTCGAAGGCCGTGCTGATCGAGCTGAACGACTCCAAAGAGACCTCAATCACCACCCACCAGACCACCCCAACCCAACCCGAAGGCTCAGATTTATCCTCGATTTCCAGTGGGGGGGGGTCTGGGGACGTTGGAAAAAAAAAACACATGGAACCCGTACCCCCCCAACCCACAATTCGAGTCAAATTCGGGTCTTCGGGTTGGGTTGGGGTGGTCTGGTAGGTAGTCACTCAAGGCCAGAGTGGACGCCCTCCAAAACGCTCTTCGTCATGCGGAAGCTCTCCACCCAGCGATGGACTTGGGCGCCATTGGTGCCTGGGGCCGCCCACCGAATGCAGCTACCTTCTGGCGTGGTGCTGCCTCAGAGTTCTCCGCTGCCTCGCTCAAGACCGCACTCGCCTCCTGGTTCGACGCCGCCGACGTGGACATCAACGCTCTCCGCATCAACTCGGATGGCCCAGCACGGATAATTTCATTCACACTCGCTGGTGGCAATGCGATTGCTCTCCCGCGAGCCCAGGCTCTGCATCGCGCACTTCGACAAGGACGAGAATGGCGTCGCTTCCAAGTGGATTCTGACTCTGGCCCCACTGCCCTCTACGTCTCCGCGGACAAATCACCACGCATGGTCCGACAGGAAGTACAACTCAAAAAGCTCAACAAGCTCATCAATGACAAGTTCCCCACGCTCGAGACTCGGCCCCCCCGCGCTGGCGGCTTACTGTCCATCAACGGCGCCCCCCACCGTCCAGATCACGGCTGGAGCCACGCCGGATGCAACTGCCCAAGTTCGGGTCCGACGCAGCTGCCCCCGCTGGCATCCCTACTACCGAGCACGTGCCCTTGGCTACCGCGCTGGCTGCTGCTTTCGCCAACCCACTGGAGGCAGCGCGGTGGCTTTAGCACTCGTTGGTCGCCGTGGCTCACGAAACCACACCCCGACGGCTTCAACCTGGTCTCATGGAACACGCAGGCGCTCAACGGCAGATCGGCATCACGACGGGCACTCAAGCGCCAGGTGCTACCCCCCTACGTGCGGCAACGAGCGGTCATCGCCCTTCAAGAGACACACGGCAACAGCATCGACATGGACATCCTGGCTGCGAGCACCGACCACAAGTACATCGCCTTCCATTCAGCACTCGTGACTGACGGCCATTCCTCGGAGACTGCAGGCGGCGTCGCCTTCCTGGTTCCTCTTGATCGAGTCGAGCACCAACTGCCACCTGATCAACGGCCCCTACGTACATTCCGCGCGATCGTCCCTGGTCGCATTGGTGAATTACGCGTTCAAGATGGAGCAAGGCAACACGAGACGACCAGATTCAACATCCACAACTACGACCTCAGCGGTTCCGATCGACAGCGCGTCAAAGCTGCGTGGCAAGCAGCTGCTCAACGTTCTGCCCTCCGCCCTGACAACCACGACTACGACGTGGTCGGTGACTTCAACATCGCTCAGACGCCGCCGAAGAGCCTGCTCCACCCCGCCGCGGACTCCACCGCCGAGCGCCACCACTACCAGCCTGTCTTCTGGAAGAACATCTTCTCACATATGATGGAGATCACAGCGAAGGCCACCACTCACCGATGCGCTGCCAACCTAACTGAGGCGGCTATCGACAGATGGTTCGTCTCGATCAACGCGTCCAACATCACGCACATCGAATCAACTCTTGTCGCCGATGGCAGACCGCTTGATCGTGGAGGAGAGCCCATCAGCGATCACAAGCTTTTACATCTACGACTTCGACCTCGTCAGCCACGCCCAGCCAGTGAGCGCGGCATCCCTGCCTTCCTCTTCGAGTCCAAGCACTGCAAGTTCTACTACCAGCGCCTTGTCGAGATGGCCGGCTTCTCTGCCGGCCCCATCTCAAACTGGTGGACAATGAAGCACATAATGAAGCTGGCGGCGCGCAAGGCTCGTGACACCATCACCGCCTTCTCCGCCTCTGAGTTCATGCCGATCGAGAGTCAAAAGGAAGACCCACTTGTCCTAGCAGAGGCACGTGCGCTCACGCTCCGCAGCATCGCAATGGCCATCTGGTACCAGGACCTCACTCTTGCCCAGCGGCTTCGTAACGACACCAGCGCTGAGGCACAACACATCGACATCTGTCACCACACGATCTCTCTAGTCGACCGCATCGCATTCGAGACTGAGCACTCAGCCATGCAGCACCAGATTGCAGAACAGAGACGTCGTGCTGCTGCCGCCCGCTCGCGAGCTGTCTACGCTGAACAACGGCCCGAACTTGGCGAGCAATGGCGACGTCGCGCTCGCCGCATTGGACAGCGCAGTGAGATTTGGAAGCCGTTCTCGACGCGCATAATTTTCGCAGGCGTTCGCATCGCCGACAGGAGAGGCCCGACAATCGCCAACGACCCCATGAGCATGCACAGCGCTATTCAATCTCACTGGTCGAAGGTGTTTGCGGCCAGGCAAGTGGACTCCCCAGCGATGCAGCAGTACCTGGACATGGTCTTCCCACCAGCACCTCCACGCCATCTGCCTCTCCCTGGGATTGATGATCTCCAAGCCGCAGCTAAACTCGCAAGTGACTCAGCTCCTGGACCTGACGGACTCCCCTACCGCGCATGGGTACGATAAGACGGCAGTATCGCAATACTCCACGACCTCCTCCGCTCCATCGCTCACGGCGGGCCGATCCCATACGACCTGAACTACGCGATCATGGCCATGCTTTCCAAGGGCGACGGGCCCATGGGCAACTACGAGTGCCGCCCGCAGCCCTGACTGCCTCCGCCCCCCTCGCCATGAAGAACAGTGACATCAAGATCATCGCCTCCGCCACGAACCGCATCCTCAACTCCGTTGCGTCGGATATTGAAGAAGAGCAACACGGATTTGTCAATGGCCGTCAATTTCTCTCCAACATCGTCAAGGTTGACACTATCGCCCGCCTCGCCAGCATCAACAGCGAAGCCTCCAACATGATGCCCTGCTTCGTCAGCATGGACATTGCTGCAGCGCTTGCGAGCCTTACACATGAGTGGTTGTGGGCTACTCTAAGGCGGTGGGGCATCCACGGCGTCTTTCCCAATCTCTTGCAAAGTTGCTACAGCATGCCACTTGCCTTTCCCGAGCTTGGTGGGATTTGCCGACCGCTGCTTCTCGCAGAATCTGGGGTTGCTCAAGGTTGTCCCTTGAGCGGCGCGCTATGGGCGCTCGTCTTCGACCCCATCATCAAAGGCCTCAAGGTGGAACTCACCGCTCTGGGCAGAGGCCTGCTCAGTGCCTGCGCCGATGACTTGGGTATCGTTCTTGCTGCACTTCGGGATCTTGGCGCTCTCCTCCCACGCCTACAAGCTGCTCACCACTACGCTGGCCTCCGACTCCAAGCGAAGAAATGCGTCCTCGTGCCCACCTGGTCCCTACCGACGCCCGAGATCACCGCGAACGCGCGTGCTATCCTGACCCAGCTTTACGAGCCGCGGCAAGCTTTCTCCATCAACAGCTTTGCGCGATACCTCGGCGTGCACATCGGCCCTGGCGCCTCTCTTGGCAGTCAATGGCAAGGCCCTGCCAACAAATGGTGGGAACGCATTCAGATCTTGAGCGACTCCAGCGCTCCCATCCAGCAGTGCATCAAGATGTGCAGCTCTGCCGCCATCACCTGTCTCTCGTACGTGGGTCTGCTCTACCCGCCACCCCCAGCATTCCTGTCCAAGGAGATTCATGACCTCCACAAGTTGATCCGTGCCGCCCCCTCGAGCTTCACGAAGATGGACATCCTGTCGTTCACGCTGTGGGCGTCCGCCACGATCCCGCAGGGTATTGAAACGCTTCTTGCTGCGACTATGTGGCGCGCCTCCACTACGACCATCCCTGACTGGCAGCCTCTGCTTCGCGAATTCCGTGCTCATGCTGAAGACATCCTTCCACTACGAGATGTAGCGGCTGGCAAATGGTCTGCCTCATGTTGGATTGACACCACTTCCATCGTGCAGCGATTCGACGCCATCTTTCACAACAAGCTGATCGTGACTGGCAAAGGCTCCATCTTCAAGACTCTCACGCGAACCATAGGATCTACGGTGAACGCCGCCCGTGTACTTCAACGAGCTCATGCGCAAGCTGCCGCAGCTGGACGGCGCGCTACCCAGGCCTCGCGCCGCAACATGGCGGTGGATCTCTGCACGCACAGTCGCGACAGGACTGGTATTTACCAAGCGCCAAGCCGTGACAGGGCTGGTGACCATCACGCACCCAGTCGCGACAGGACTGGCGGATTTCATCAGAGACAAGCTGGGCTCAACCATTCGAGTGCTACTACTTCGAACGTCGCATCACGAACCTCCCCACAGCAAGCCACCCTACGGGAATTGCAACGCCAGCTGTACCGCGACTCCTTCCACAAGACCTTTCATCATCGTCTTCGCGCTTGGTTCCCATTACTTCCTGTCGACAGCGGACCTCCGGCGGCGCCTTCTACATCCAAGCAACAGACTGAGAGTGACGACCACGACTCCATGAAGTACCTGAACGAACGCGCAGAAGCATGGGCAGCAAGATGGATCCCCAGCGTGTTCTTCGGCTGCGACATGGACAACTTCAACGACTGGATGGACTGGTGCGTCCCCTACATCACAGCGGTTCTTCACCGCACCCAGTTCAATTCGCACTTCTGCCTCGATGACCAGTACGGGTCTGCCCGTACTCGCCGTGACATGGCGACAGAGATATGTCTCGGTGCGTGGCACCGAGCTGACCGTTCTCGCAACCACCGCTTGTAGATCTACACCACCGAGCACATTTCGTCCACCACCCGCCGAGAATTTGCTGACGAAGCTGCTGAACACCGTGCCCGTCGCCGCTGGATCGAACGCGAACGCGCCGCCAACCCGGACCTCCCGCAGGCTGACGGCGACACTCAGTCTGCTACTACGACCACATCCACGCTTCCCATCCACTCCACCAATGACATCATGATGGGCACCGATACATCCGCCCGTGACGGACTTCTTGGCCGCGCTGCTTCCCCCGCCAGTGTTGAACACGTCTGGCGTGATCTACGGTCCCACCTGGCGAACTCAGCGGCCTCGCTCTTCTGGCCTGCGGTCAAGACCTTGTCAGGCGCATGGACGACCTCACACCGCATGCACGTCAACCCCCACAAGAAGAACTGCATGTTCGGTTGCGACAAGGACTTGCAAGCCAAGAACACCGACAACATCAGCCACTACATCTCGTGCCCTCGGATGTGGGCGCTCATGGCTCAACCGCGCGGGCAACCTGCTGGCGATGCCCTCACACGCCTGGGCCTCCACCAGAACGGCATCATCGACGATCACCCGAGGCGCACCATCACTCGATTGGCCGTGGCCTACCGCAGCTACAACATCCTGCGGGCACGCTCCGAGCTCGGCATGCCCGCCAACCACAACGAGTACACCTACCACAAGGAGGTCGTTGCCGCTGCCCGCCGCGCACTGAGGCCGCCCCCCCGATGCCTCTTGGGCGGCGCGGGGCCGCTGCGGCGCTAAGCAACAGACGTGCGCGCTCCCCAGCGTGTCGTTCGCTCCTCCTCCTCCTCCGCCTCCTCCTCCTCGCCCTCTCGTCCTGCCTGTGTTCGTGCTGCCAAAACTGTACGTGTTAGAATTCCCCCTGCAGGACATCCCGAACGGCCTGGGCGCCATCTCCAAGGTGCCCGCGGCGGGCTGGGCGCAGATCGTTGCCTACGCCGCGTTCTGCGAGCTGTCCCAGAACCAGTCCGCGGGCACGCCGGCGGCGAAGGGCGACTTCGGCTGGAAGGTGCTCACCGACAGCGACCCGACGGAGAGGCAGAAGAAGCTGGCTGCTGAGATAGCGAACGGTCGCCTTGCTATGGTGGCAATCATCGGGATGTTCTTCCAGGACGGGCTGACGGGCTCCGCGTGGGGCGACTGGGCTCTGTACACCGACTCCCCGCTGCGAGCGTTCGAGAGCGAGTTGGGTGCTATGGCGCCGTTTGGTTTCTGGGATCCCGCTGGCATGTGCGCAGACGGTGATGTGGAGTCCTTCAAGCGAAGGCGTGCCACCGAGCTGAAGCACGGGCGATTGGCAATGTTCGCGTGCTTGGGCTATATCGTGCCGGAGTTTTACAAGTGGCCCGGATATTGCTCCGAGAGCAAGGGCTTGCTCTTTCAGGACATCCCCAACGGCCTTGCGGCGGTGTCCAAGGTGCCGGGCGCGGGATGGGTGCAGGTATTTTTGTTCTGTGGCACCGTCGAGAAGGCCGTCCTCGTGCACGACCCTACGCGTGCACCCGGGGACTTTGCGAACGGTGGCGTGCTCGGCGTGCCCAACGGCAGCGCCATGCCGGCGGGAAAGGGCAGGAACCGCAAGCTGACTTCCGAGATTGCGAATGGCCGTTTGGCAATGATGGCAATCATCGGGATGTTCTTCCAAGACGGCCTCACTGGCTCCGCGTGGGGCGACTGGGCTCTGTATACTGACTCCCCGCTGCGCGCGTTCGAGAACGAGACGGGCGTGCAGGACCCGATGGGCTTCTGGGACCCAGCTGGCTTCACCTTCGACGGGAGCGTGGAGAATTTCGCGCGCCGCCGGCAGACGGAGCTCAAACACGGTCGCGTGTCCATGTTGGCCACCATGGGCTACATCACCCCCGAGGTCAGCGGGAAGTTCCCTGGCTATTTGTCTCCGTCGTCGGAGCTGAAGTTCGCGGACACCACTGGGGAGACCCACAACGTAGACGCACCCGCCTTTCTTCCTCTTCTTCTTTTTCTTTTTCTTCCTCTACCTCTTCTCCTCCTCCTCCTCCTCCTCCTCCTCCGCCTCCTCCTCCTCGTCCTCTCGTCCTGCCTGTGTTCGTGCTGCCAAAACTGTACGTGTTAGATATCCCCCTGCAGGACATCCCGAACGGCCTGGGCGCCATCTCCAAGGTGCCCGCGGCGGGCTGGGCGCAGATCGTTGCCTACGCCGCGTTCTGCGAGCTGTCCCAGAACCAGTCCGCGGGCACGCCGGCGGCGAAGGGCGACTTCGGCTGGAAGGTGCTCACCGCCAGCGACCCGACGGAGAGGCAGAAGAAGCTGGCTGCTGAGATAGCGAACGGTCGCCTTGCTATGATGGCAATCATCGGGATGTTCTTCCAGGACGGGCTGACGGGCTCCGCGTGGGGCGACTGGGCTCTGTACACCGACTCCCCGCTGCGAGCGTTCGAGAGCGAGTTGGGTGCTATGGCGCCGTTTGGTTTCTGGGATCCCGCTGGCATGTGCGCAGACGGTGATGTGGAGTCCTTCAAGCGAAGGCGTGCCACCGAGCTGAAGCACGGGCGATTGGCAATGTTCGCGTGCTTGGGCTATATCGTGCCAGAGTTTTACAAGTGGCCCGGATATTGCTCCGAGAGCAAGGGCTTGCTCTTTCAGGACATCCCCAACGGCCTTGCGGCGGTGTCCAAGGTGCCGGGCGCGGGATGGGTGCAGGTATTTCTGTTCTGTGGCACCGTCGAGAAGGCCGTCCTCGTGCACGACCCTACGCGTGCACCCGGGGACTTTGCGAACGGTGGCGTGCTCGGCGTGCCCAACGGCAGCGCCATGCCGGCGGGAGAGGGCAGGAACCGCAAGCTGACTTCCGAGATTGCGAATGGCCGTTTGGCAATGATGGCAATCATCGGGATGTTCTTCCAAGACGGCCTCACTGGCTCCGCGTGGGGCGACTGGGCTCTGTACACTGACTCCCCGCTGCGCGCGTTCGAGAACGAGACGGGCGTGCAGGACCCGATGGGTTTCTGGGACCCAGCTGGCTTCACCTTCGACGGGAGCGTGGAGAATTTCGCGCGCCGCCGGCAGACGGAGCTCAAGCACGGTCGCGTGTCCATGTTGGCCACCATGGGCTACATCACCCCCGAGGTCAGCGGGAAGTTCCCTGGCTATTTGTCTCCGTCGTCGGAGCTGAAGTTCGCGGACACCACTGGGGAGACCCACAACGTAGATGCACCCGCCTTTCTTCCTCTTCTTCTTTTTCTTATTTTTCCTCCTCTACCTCTTCTCATCCTCCTCCTCCTCCTCTGCCTCCTCCTCCTCGTCCTCTCGTCCTGCCTGTGTTCGTGCTGCCAAAACTGTACGTGTTAGATATCCCCCTGCAGGACATCCCGAACGGCCTGGGCGCCATCTCCAAGGTGCCCGCGGCGGGCTGGGCGCAGATCGTTGCCTACGCCGCGTTCTGCGAGCTGTCCCAGAACCAGTCCGCGGGCACGCCGGCGGCGAAGGGCGACTTCGGCTGGAAGGTGCTCACCGCCAGCGACCCGACGGAGAGGCAGAAGAAGCTGGCTGCTGAGATAGCGAACGGTCGCCTTGCTATGGTGGCAATCATCGGGATGTTCTTCCAGGACGGGCTGACGGGCTCCGCGTGGGGCGACTGGGCTCTGTACACCGACTCCCCGCTGCGAGCGTTCGAGAGCGAGTTGGGTGCTATGGCGCCGTTTGGTTTCTGGGATCCCGCTGGCATGTGTGCAGACGGTGATGTGGAGTCCTTCAAGCGAAGGCGTGCCACCGAGCTGAAGCACGGGCGATTGGCAATGTTCGCGTGCTTGGGCTATATCGTGCCGGAGTTTTACAAGTGGCCCGGATATTGCTCCGAGAGCAAGGGCTTGCCCTTTCAGGAAATCCCCAACGGCCTTGCGGCGGTGTCCAAGGTGCCGGGCGCGGGATGGGTGCAGGTATTTTTGTTCTGTGGCACCGTCGAGAAGGCCGTCCTCGTGCACGACCCTACGCGTGCGCCCGGGGACTTTGCGAACGGTGGCGTGCTCGGCGTGCCCAACGGCAGCGCCATGCCGGCGGGAGAGGGCAGGAACCGCAAGCTGATTTCCGAGATTGCGAATGGCCGTTTGGCAATGATGGCAATCATCGGGATGTTATTCCAAGACGGCCTCACTGGCTCCGCGTGGGGCGACTGGGCTCTGTACACTGACTCCCCGCTGCGCGCGTTCGAGAACGAGGCGGGCGTGCAGGGCCCGATGGGTTTCTGGGACCCAGCTGGCTTCACCTTCGACGGGAGCGTGGAGAATTTCGCGCGCCGCCGGCAGACGGAGCTCAAGCACGTCGCGTGTACATGTTGGCCACCTTGGGATTACATCCATCCCGAGGTCAGCGGGAAAGTTCCCGGCTATTTGTCTCGTCGTCGGAGTGAATGTGTTTACGCGGACACAATGCGGAGACCCACAACGTAGAAGCCACCGACTTTATTCCCTCTTCTTCTTTTTCCTATTTTTTCCTCCTCTACTCTATTCTCCTCCTCCTCCTCCTCCGCCGCCTCCTCCTCCTCGTCCTCTCGTCCTGCCTGTGTTCGTGCTGCCAAAACTGTACGTGTTAGATATCCCCCTGCAGGACATCCCGAACGGCCTGGGCGCCATCTCCAAGGTGCCCGCGGCGGGCTGGGCGCAGATCGTTGCTACGCACGCGTTCTGCGAGCAGGCCCAGGGGCCCAGAACCAGTCCGCGGTCGGGCTCGCCGGCGCGAAGGGCGACTTCGGCTGGAAGGTGCTCAACCGCCAGCGAACCGACGGAGAGCAGAAGAGATGGCTGCTGAGATAGCGAACGTCGCCTTGCTATGATGGATTCATCGGGATGTTCTTCCAGGACGGGCTGACGGGCTCCGCGTGGGGCGACTGGGCTCTGTACACCGACTCCCCGTTGCGAGCGTTCGAGAGCGAGTTGGGTGCTATGGCGCCGTTTGGTTTCTGGGATCCCGCTGGCATGTGCGCAGACGGTGATGTGGAGTCCTTCAAGCGAAGGCGTGCCACCGAGCTGAAGCACGGGCGATTGGCAATGTTCGCGTGCTTGGGCTATATCGTGCCGGAGTTTTACAAGTGGCCTGGATATTGCTCCGAGAGCAAGGGCTTGCTCTTTCAGGACATCCCCAACGGCCTTGCGGCGGTGTCCAAGGTGCCGGGCGCGGGATGGGTGCAGGTATTTCTGTTCTGTGGCACCGTCGAGAAGGCCGTCCTCGTGCACGACCCTACGCGTGCTCCCGGGGACTTTGCGAACGGTGGCGTGCTCGGCGTGCCCAACGGCAGCGCCATGCCGGCGGGAGAGGGCAGGAACCGCAAGCTGACTTCCGAGATTGCGAATGGCCGTTTGGCAATGATGGCAATCATCGGGATGTTCTTCCAAGACGGCCTCACTGGCTCCGCGTGGGGCGACTGGGCCTCTTACACCGACTCGCCATTGCGGTGAGCGGCAGCTTTTCAAAATTGTTGGGCGTGTGGCCCCCATGAGTGCTGCTGGAGCGCATGCTGGTCTTCACAAAAGGGGCAGCCTCTCTCTCTCTCTTTGTCCTTGTCTCTGTCCTCCTCTCATGTCACGCTCGGTTCTCCGAGGCCAGCAGGTTGGTACGAGCTTCCTTGGCTGTATTGTTGAGGCTTCAGACCCTGACCAGGAAGGCATGTACGGGTATCCTGGGGCTTTCTCCGTGCCTCGTCGGAGATCCGAGCCTCTAATGCGGCCCAGGAGAAGGTATGCCGGCATACCTTCTTCTGATATTCTGGGTGACAGTCGGAGTCTCTACGTTGCCTTCTTGGAATCCAGGGGGGTCGTCGGTGAGGGGCCTGGATGGCTCTGGAGATGTCCCGTGGACGGAGTTTTACCAGCAGGGTAGCGCAGAGGAAGAACTGCGGGCCGAACTCGGGTAAACCTTGCGTCTTCTTGGCGGCTTTCTGGCCGCTCCGGGACCATCTTGGCGCCTGTCGGGGTGATCTTGATCCAATGCCTAGGCTTCTTGGGCAGCGGCGTGCCAACGGCGTGCTGGCCAGACGACGGGCCGGACCTTGCATCGGGCCACGGGGCCGCGGCATCGGCGTGCGTTTGCGTCGCTGGGGCTCCAGACTGCGTCGCCGCCTCGGCCGCTCGATGGGCCGCTGCCGCGCCACCGAGATTCGAAGCTTGGGCCGCCACGCCTTGTTTCCCAGCTCTTTCACGCTCTCCTTGTTTCTCGTTGTCTCTCCGTGCTGCATGCCCTCTGGTCTGCCTCCATGGCCACGAATGAGTCTTGGCAATGTGGCTCGCACGCGATGTGGCTGTGACATCTTAGCTGAAGGCATCTGAAGCCCATCCGGGCCCTAAAAGGTAATAAGGCTAAAACCGTTTCGCTAATCAACTGTTTCGACAGTTCACGCACTTCCGCTCATTGACGACGATCCCGTCGATGTCAGCTCATTGCGTACCCCGGCAGGACCCCGTGCGAACCATGTCTTGCGTGCGAGCTACGCAAGAAAACATGCAAACCATGTCTGCGGGATGAAGCACACTTCTGTCACGCTGCACTGGCACGCCATCAACCCGTGTTGGTAATCTAAATCTGTATCGAGTCTTTCATTGCAAGGGTCCGCCTTGGTTTCCTTGGATACGTGTATCTTGGATTATCTTCGGGAGGTCTGGTGGCATTTGAGACCCCCATGCGCTGCAGAGCATAGAGAGCAAGCGTTTTCAACACATCGAGGTTACGTAGTGGTTTCGGCTGCGCAGGGGCTTGTCATGGGCCGCATTGAGGCGTCTTTGGAGCCCTCCCGTGTGTCACCTGAGGTTTCTTGGAATCTCCTGCGCCGCCTCGGAGGCCTCTCAGGACTGCGTGGTGGCCTCACAGGGCCCTCATGAACCGCGCAGTGGGGGAACGGGCCCCTCGGACCCGTGCCACGATGAGCCCGGGGCCCCATCTCCCTCTCGCCAATCATATCGGAGGAATAGGTTGGTGTGCCCGATGCTCGGATTCCCTGAGGGTCTAACGGTGTGTTACGAAGAACGATTCGTCCTCACCTTCCTCTCTCCTTTCCTCCTCCTACTCCTACCCTCGCCTCCTCTCCTCCCAACGAGTGTAAGAAGAAGGAGAAGGGGGAGGAGTAGGAGGAGGATGCCGCGGATGAGAATGGGGTAAGAGGATGAGGAGGAAGAGGAGAGGGAGATCACTGGCGGCGTCCGACGGACTCTTGCGTCCTCAGGCACTCAGGCACTCAGAGGGAGGTGGTTGAGGGAGGAGGAGGAGGAGAAGCAGGAGGAAAAGGAGGAGGAGGAGGAGGAGGCGAGGTGCTCTCTTGCTCCTCCTTCCTTCCGATCGCCCCTTTTGCCTTTTCGTTGCGTGACCCTGCTTCCTCCTTGCTTACACAGTCCCCCTTGTAGCCCCTTCCTCATGTTCCGGCTCTACCCTGACCTTCTTGCTTTCTCCTGGGCCTCCTCGTCGCCGCCGCCGCCGTCGTCTTCGTCGTCGTCGTCGGTCGTCCTTGTAGATGCTTGTCATGGGCTTGTCGCCCTTGCTCTCGTCCTTGTCCACGTCTTGTTTGTCCATTTCCTCGTGGATCTCGTTTTCGTCGTCATCGTCGTCATTGTCCATGTGCTTGTCCCATGCCCACGTCTTTGCCGCCGTTGATGACGTCGTTTTCATGTCGTCACTGTCGTCTGCCTCGCCGTCTTCGGGCGCAGTCATCGGTTGTGGTCTCACATCTGGGGCCCCTCCAGAGGATATCTTCGGCCGTCAGGGCTGCAACAGCGCTTGGAGCGTCTTAGGGCTTTCCTTGCGACTTTTCGGGTGGTCGTGGGTCCCTCTTGGGACGCCCTGGAGGCCTCATATGGCACTCGTGGGCCATCTCAAAGCCCTCTGGGGACTGCTTCGGCCTTGGTGCCCTCCAGGGCCGTCTGGGGCTGCCCTGTCGGCCTCTTCGGCCGTCGGGGTTGCCTCCAAAGTCTCTGGTGGGCCGTCGTGGCTCTCCTGAGGCTCTCTGGGGGTACCCTGAGCACTCCAAATGTCCTTTGGAGCTGAAAAGCTTGGAACGCAACACCTATTCAAATCCAGCGGCGCTTCTGGATTATTTAATTCTCTTGCACAGGGTGTCTAGAGCTCCGACCACTTTATTTCGGCGTCGTCGTCGCTCCCCCCCAGCTGCCTTGTGCAATTCATGTGTCGCTATATGGGTCGCTGTGTGCCTTGTGCCCTTCATGTGCCGCTATATGTGTCGCTGTGTGTCGCTATGCGTCTCCATGTGTGCGTCGCTATGTGTCGCTGTGTGTCGCTATGCGTCGATCTGTGTGTGTCGGTATATGTTTCTATATGTCGATATGTGTCGACATGTGTCGACATGTGTCGCTCCCCAGCACCCCAGCGCACCGCCCCCTCCGCCCCGACGACTTTATTTCGGCGTCGTCGTCGCCCCCCCCCTCTCCCTCTCCTCAGCAGCCCAGCGCGCTGCCCCCTCCGCCCCGACCACTTTATTTCGGCGTTGTGTCGACATGTGTCGCTATGTGTCGCTCCCCAGCACCCCAGCGCACCGCCCCCTCCGCCCCGACGACTTTATTTCGGCGTCGTCGTCGCCCCCCCCCCTCTCCCTCTCCTCAGCAGCCCAGCGCGCTGCCCCCTCCGCCCCGACCACTTTATTTCGGCGTCGTCGTCGCCCCCCCCGGTCCTTTTCGCCAGCACCCCAGCGCACCGCCCCCTCCGCCCCGACTACTTTATTTCGGCGTTCGGCCCCCGCCCCCCCCCCCTCTCCCTACTCCTCAGCATCCCAGCGCGCTGCCACCCTCCGCCCCCGACCAAAGGTATTTCGGCGTTATGTCGACATGTGTCGGCTATGTGTCGCTCCCCAGCCACCCAGCGCACCGCCCCCTCCTCCCCGACGAACTTTATTCGGCGCGTCGTCGCCCCCCCCCCCCCTCTCCTCTCTTCCCCAGCAGCCCAGTGCACGGCCCCCTCCGCCCCGACGACTTTATTTCGGCGTCGTCGTCGCCCTACTTCGGCGTTGTGTCGACATGTGTCGCTTTCCCCAGCAGCCCAGCGCACCGCCCTCTCCGCCCCGACCACTTTATTTCGGCGTCGTCGTCGCCCTATTTCGGCGTTGTGTCGACATGCGTCGCTTTCCCCAGGAGCCCAGCGCACCGCCCTCTCCGCCCCGACCACTTTATTTTGGCGTCGTCGTCGCCTTATTTCGGCGTTGTGTCGACATGTGTCGCTATGCGTCGCTCCCCAGCACCCCAGCGCACCGCCCCCTCCGCCCCGACGATTATATTTCTGCGTCGTCGTCGCCCCCACCCCCCCTTCTCCCTCTCCTCAGCAGCCCAGCGCGCTGCCCCCTCCGCCCCGACCATTTTATTTCGGCGTCGTCGTCGCCCCCCCCCTGGTCCTTTCCCCAGCACCCAGCGCGCTGCCCCCGTCCGCCCCGACCCACTTGTTTCGGCGTCGTCGTCGCCCCCCCCCCGCCCCCGCTCCCGCTCTCCCAGCAGCCCCGGCCCAGCAGCCCCGGCGCGCCGCACCCTCAGCCCCGACGACTTATTTCGCGTCGTCGTCGCCCCCCCCCCCCTCCCCCCTCCGGCAGCCCAGCCCAGCGCGCCGCCCTCTCCGCCCCGACCACTTTATTATCCTGCACAGGGTGTCTAGAGCTCCGACCA